CTAAGTAATAATATTTGTGACATGATCTCAATTTACAGCTTCTTTGGAGAAAGAACAAGCTCTCGATCACAGCCACATAATTTTGTCCCAAACAAAATATCACAACCGTTAAAAACTGTCTCAATATTTATAAAACCAGCAAAAGCCCCACTCATTATCTCATGCCTGTCAGATTCAGTTTTGAAAACCAAGCCAGAAAAAAATGTTTCACCATAATTACTAGAACACCCACACAATTACCTACTTTTTTACGGGTTATGAACTAAACAATAAAGATTATTTTAGGAATGTATGTAAAATAGAGTAATAAGCCAAAAAGCAATCCGTATGAGACCTTCACGCTCCTTTGAAGAGAGTGGACAACACACATCACCAATTAAGATTGCAAAGCCATTTTTAAGGGTTGGAAATTCCCATTTTCACCTTGTTGGAAGATTTTTAATGAAATCAAATTGTAGAATTTAAGATTTTAAATTATTATAAATATATCTTAAAATTCTTCACTAGTTCATTTCCCTATAATAACATCTTATTCGGATATACAACTGAATAATTTGAATGGGTTTATTAATATTCAAGGTAATTTAGATAGCTTCTCATTCTCATAATTTCAACATTTTTTTTTTTTTTTTTGTGAATTTACGATACAATTGGACATTTTAGATTAAATATATGAAACATTTTAATCTTATGAAATTGTTTGACTATTAAAAACAAAAGAAAAAAAAAATTTAATGGAAAAGACAAGGAATCCAAACAAGTTGGTGCCTCTTTGTATAAATAGCGAGAAGTATTTGTTGTGAGTCACAACTGAGTGTATTAAGAGATGGATGTAAGTGGTTTTGGGTGTTGTTAGTAATGTGTTGGCTCTTTAGGAGAGGGTTGTTGGAGGAAGAGAGAACTGCTCTCTGCAACTAAACATTTCTTCCCTGATCCTTATGGCTATCTTTACAATTGGGTAAGAATTCAGAAGTTGTAGATGGGAACGTTCATCTTCCTCATCACGTTCCTCTTTGCAATGTTGTGATCTTCATCAAAATCTGTTCCTTCATCTTTATTAGGACTCTCAAGAGCCCTCTTCTCTTGCTCTTCTTCAACAAATCTGAATTACTCTTCTTCTCTCTCAAGCCTCCATTCTTCAACCTCTTCTCAGCTTCCACTTCAATGTCTCAACCAACTCCTTCACTGCCTTCTCCTTATTCCTCTTGTTCTTAATCAACGCTTCACTGATATCAGCTGGAGTCATCTCAGCTTTCTCAATAACCTCCTGCAAATCCATCAACATCCCACTTTCCAAATCACTTTCTTCATAATCCAATAATTCTTCAACAAAATCAACAATGCAGGGTAAGCACAGTAACTCATGTAAATATGCATATCCATTCTTCAGGATTACTCTTTCAGATTTGAATTTTACTCTTTCAGGATGATTGAATTTTACTGATATGGTCTGGTGGTGGTGATGGTGTGGTGGTGTTGGTGTTGGTGATGAAGGCAATAATAATAACTCGATTACTCTTTCAGGATTATTGATTTTACTGACGGATATGGTCATGTTGTGGGAGTGAAAGGATTTTTGTGTTACACTAATCACATTGAGAAGCTTGACCTGCATTGCTGAGAAGTGGAAGAATGATATGCATATTTACATGAGTTACTACAAATCCCTACAAAATCTCTCATTTACTATTAAATTTGAGGATTTCAACGTATTTTAGGAGTTGTTAATTTTATGATTATTGATTTATGTTTTCATATATTGTTTGAATGACTAAAACTTATTCAAAGTCTCCTAATAAGAACAAGTGTGCGATTGAGAATTGTATTGCAACTTGAAAAATCATTAAAGGAGCTCAAGTCGTGGTAATTGATTTTATGAAATTGATGAGCCAATAATTCTCGATCGTTTCTTTCATATACATCTTATCAATAAGTGTGGAGATTGTAATAAAACTTCCAAAAGAAAATAAATTTTGGTTACTTTGAAATTGATAAATCACTAAGAGGTCAAGCCGTGTTATATGGTTGCAATGTGTCATCACATCAGTTTTCTATCTTTTCAGATCTTTATTATATCATTCAGTATCATCTATAAAACAAACATTATTTTGTTTAGTGTTTAAATGTTATTATTTAACAAGTATGTCAGTATTGTAGTCATGCATACGTGCCTATTTAACGTGTTTGTTGTTGAATTTTATATTATTACAACAATAGATTTGTAACAAAAAAAATGTATAAATAGTACTTAACTTTTTTACGATAGATTTATAACAGTAAATAATAAACTTTTAGTATTGACTCCAAGTCTTCTGATTTCTGAAAACCAAGACAAAATGTTCATGGAAAATGTTCTAATGGAAAAAAAAGAGACAATTGTTGTATTAACATTGACTCAAAGTCTTTTGAAACACGGACCAAATAAGGATTGGAAAAATTGTACTAACTTCCAATGAATAAGAAAAGGGTTTGCTTTCATGAGAGTGATGCCTCTTGCATTATTGTTACGCTTCAAATTTGAGTTAAAGAAATATAATATAACGTAAATATTATAGTTAAGTTCAGAGAAAACTATTTCATTCTTTCTTTAATTCCTTCTTTAAAATAAATACTGTTATGGTGTTAAAAAGTTTAGCATTATCTTATTATTATTTTTCATCTTTCTCAGATTTTTGTTCTTTCAAACTTTTGGACTCAAAAAAAGATTGTAAATATCCACAAAAGATAAAAAAATGAAATTTGGCAGAGTGAATGACTTATTGCAGTCAATCGGATTGGGAATTTGATAAATATTTTTATAAAATTGGTAGTAAATCGTTTACTAATAATAAATATTCCTCCAAATTATTTTGTTGACTATTATAATTTTTTTTTCTCCATATCTACAATTTATGGGCATTATTTTTTTTCCCTCCAAATTGGTAACTTTTGATTGGGACTATTAAGAGGCAGAGTGAGGCTTTACTTTTGACGATCAAAGGGATAGGAAGCTAATTCAGGTGCTGGTAGGCTAGAAAAAACATTGGAGATTGGCCGAGAATGGAATTTTCGGTAGAAAATAAAAAAATAATTTCTATCGTAAATGACCCGTTTTGCCATAGCTTTTAATTGAGTAGCTTGACTTGGAAAATTAGCTTACTTGGAATGCCAACTTACATAAATTGACAAGTTGATTGAGCTGATTTGAGTTTTTACAATTTTATGGAAATATAAACGTTAATGATAGAATTTAAGGTGGGTTTGACTCCTCACTTAATAAGGTTTTATTGGGTGAGGAGTCAGACCCACATCAAATTCTATCATGGTGGTGTTATTTAACTTATAATTTTTTACTAAAATAGGTATTAAACATGAAACAAATAAAATAAAGATATATTGATTTAATGCAAATTATCTCTAAGAACAGAAAAATAAGCCAAATTATAATAATACCTGAATTTTGAAAACTATTCATTAATTACGACAAATATGAGAAGTGACATCATGGCATTTTTTTAATAAAAAATTTAAAATTAATAAATAAAAATAATAAATTTTATTGGTTTATCAATTCTAAAGGAGGAATTTAACCCCTTTTTCTCAGCTTTTTGTTTCTTTTCTTTTTCTTTAACTTTTTTTAACCAAATTTATCAAATGAATTTTATGGGATGATAACGATAGGTTAAAAAAAAAAATAAAACAAAAATGAAAAATACAATTATTTTTATTAATAACATTATTGAAAAATAATGACATTTTATGATAGACTTGTATTAGCAAAAAATAGACTTCTAAATAATTAATAGTAGCGAAAATTACAATTTTAATTTCAATCTATACAATTGAGATCTTATGAAATCACAACATATTCTTAATTGATTACAAGAGCGGGATTTTAAATATTATTGTAAAGCCCTTTATAGATTTGTTTTGTTATAGAAAAATGAAATTATTTAAATAACCCGTTTTGCCATAAGTGTTAACCAATTACATTGACTTGGAAAAGTGAACGTGACAACTAGTCAATGACAGCTAAAATTATAATCTTTAAAATAAGAAGGGAAAAAATTAATAAGAAAAACTATTTTTTATATTTTTAATTTATAATTTTGTTAATTTAGATAACATAAAACTAGAAGCTAAAATTTAATGTTTCTTTTTTAACCAATTGATATTAAATGTTTATCTTGATGCTTAGAGACTGACAGTTTATTAAAGTATTAATACATAAAATTTAGAGTATTAAAAAAAAAAAAAAAGAAAAAAAAATCTTATTAATGGAAAAGACAAGGAAATCCAAACATTAGTTGGTGCCTCTTTGTATAAATAGCGTAGAAGTAGTTTGTTGTGAGTCACAAAACTTGAGTGTATTAAGAGATGGATTGTAAGTGGTTTTGGGTGTTGTTAGTAATGATGTTGGTCTCTTTAGGAGAGGGTTGTTGGGAGGAAGAGAGAACTGCTCTCCTGCAACTTAAACATTTCTTCCCTGATCCTTATGGCTATCTTTACAATTGGGTAGAGAATTCAGAATGTTGTAGATGGGAACGTTCATCTTCCTCATCACGTTCCTTCTTGCAAGTGTTGTGATCTTCATCAAAATCTTTTCCTTCTTCTTTATTAGGACTCTCAAGAGCCCTCTTCTCTTGCTCTTCTTCCTCTTCTTCAACAAAATCTGAATTACTCTTCTTCTCTCTCAAGCCTCCATTCTTCAACCTCTTCTCAGCTCTCACCTTCAATGTCTCAACCAACTCCTTCACTGCCTTCTCCTTATTCCTCTTGTTCTTAATCAACGCTTCACTGATATCAGCTGGAGTCATCTCAGCTTTCTCAATAACCTCCTGCAAATCCATCAACATCCCACTTTCCAAATCACTTTCTTCATAATCCAAATAATTCTTCAACAAAATCAACAATGCAGGGTAAGCACAGTAACTCATGTAAATATGCATATCCATTCTTTCAGGATTACTCTTTCAGGATTATTGAATTTTACTCTTTCAGGATGATTGAATTTTACTGATATGGGTCTGGTGGTGGTGATGGTGGTGGTGGTGTTGGTGTTGGTGATGAAGGCAATAATAATAACTCGATTACTCTTTCAGGATTATTGAATTTTACTGACGGGATATGGTCATGTTGTGGGAGTGAAAGGATTTTTGTGTTTACAACTAATCACATTGAGAAGCTTGACCGTGCATTGCTGAGAAGTGGAAGAATGGATATGCATATTTACATGAGTTACTACAAATCCCTACAAAATCTCTCATTTACTATTAAATTTGAGGATTTCAACGTATTTTATGGAGTTGTTAATTTTATGATTATTGATTTATGTTTTCAATATATTGTGAATAATTTTGTGATACATTATATGATAATATGCATGAAGCAATTTATTCGCTTGAAAAATGATTGAGTATTTGTAGGTATTGAGAGGCTATCAAAATTGAGTAACTTGGAGGAATTGAATTTAGGAGGCAACAACTTCAACAACAGTATTTTATCATCTTTAGCTGGTGTCTCTTCATTAAAGCATTTGGATCTAAGTGGTAATAGATTCAAAGGAGTTGTTAATATTGAAGGTAATAAGCTCGCTTCTCATTTTCTTAATTTCAACTGTTTTTTTTTTTTTTAAAATTTTTGCTAACTGGACTTTTAAATTATGTATATGAAAGAGTTTAACATGGTGAAATTGTTTAATCTTTTTCTAAGATTACATTCTGTGAAAGAGTTGGACATGAGGTTGAATGAGATTGATCATTTTGTCAGCCCCAAAGGTAATAAGTAATAGTATTTGTGACATGATCACAATTTACAGCTTCTTTGGAGCAAATACAAGCTCTCGATTACAGCCACACAGTTTTCTCCCAAACAAAATATCACAACTGTTAAAAACTGCATCAATATTTATAAAACCAGTAAAAGCCCCACTCATTATCTCATGCCGCCAGATTCAGTTTTTAAAACCAGGCCAGCAGAAAATGTTTCACTATAATTACTAGAACACCCACGCAATTACCTACTTTTTTTACTTGTTATGCACTAAACAAGGAAGGTTATTTTAGGAATGTATGTGAAAGAAAATAATAAACCAAAGAGCACTCCATATGAAACTTTCACGCTCCTTTGAAAAGAGTGGACAGCACGCATCACCAATTAAGATGGCAAAGTCTTTTTAAGGGTTGAAAATTCCCATTTTCCCCTTGTTAGAAGATTTTTAATGAAATCAAATTGTAGAAATTAAGATTTTAAATTATTATAAATATATCTTAAAATTCTTCACTGGTTCACTTCCCTATAATAACATCTTATTCGGATATACAACTGAATAATTTGAATGGGTTTATTAATATTCAAGGTAATTTAGCTAGCTTCTCATTCTCATAATTTCAACTAATTTTTTCTTTTTTTTTTTTTTTGGTGAATTTACAATATAATTGGACTTTTTAGATTAAATATATGAAACATTTTAATCTTATAAAATGGTTTAACTATTTTCGGGTTTGAGTAACTTGGAGGTTATCCATTTGAGTTATAACAACCTCAAAAATAGCATATTATCTTCGTTGGCTGATCTTTTTTCATTAAAATCTTTGTATTTGATAAGTGTTGGTTTGGTTGGAACTGTTGATGTTCAAGGTAAGTTTGATAATGTTCCTCGTGTCTTTTTAATGATCAAATTTTAATTAAGTTTGTTTAATTTTTTCCCAGGATTACAATCCTTGAAAAACTTAAAGGAGCTAGACATGGGTCGGAATAGAATTGACAGATTTGTCAACTCTAAAAGTATTCAATTCATTCCATCAACATAGGCCCATAACCAAACTTAAGTAATAATATCTAATGACTTTATTTCCAACTCTCAAATTTCTAATACAAAGACACTATATTTGAGAATGTTATACTAAGTGATGCCCACAGCTATGGAAAATTATTTTTACATTATCATTTTCTAAAATTAAAATGAAAAATCAATTATTCTATTGTGTATTTGAAAATAGTTTTCATATTAATGAAATAGGTATAATTTGAATATTTAGTATTATCTTTAAAATAAAATGCATTTGACAATTTTAACTTGAAAATGTAGGGTAATTTTTTTTTTTTTTAAAAAAAGAAAATTTCTAAGTACTATAAATATTACTTTGAAAATTACGAAACTTAAATCTTGAGTTTAATTTTCTTTTTTTTTTAAAAGAAAAAAATTTTTGAATCTTGATTTTCAAATTGTCTAGCAAACAATTTTATTTTTATTTTTCTAAATTCGAAAAATACAATTATTTTTTATGAAAGAAAGACTAAAGTTAATTACTAGAAACCATTAAGACCACAGTCCGTTACTAAAGTTAATTAGAAAAATAGAATTCGTGAGGTTAATAATAATTCTTTTTATAAAAGAAAAAATTGTGTTTCATAAATCTTTATACTCTAAATTATATATAGGGTTACATTCCTTGAGAAAGTTGGACATAAACTATAATGAAATTGACCAATTTGTCAGGCCCAAAGCCAAAGGTAATGATGAAAAAATATATTCTAAAAAGTTTTTTGACGTTTTAGTTGGGATACTTTTAACTTTTGTGAGACTCTTATATAAAGGAATATCAAGAATAGTTTTGTTAAATTATTTTTAAAATAAAAATGAAAATTTTTTTTTCTTGTTAATGAATTTTGACATTATTAACTAAAAAATGTAGGGAAAAATGGATTTATCGTATTATGTAATTTTTTTTTTAATTTTCAAAATAAAATTCTTGAGTTCAATTTTTTTTTAAAAAAAAAATCTTCTGAATCTTGATTTTCAAATACACAGACTAGTTCTATTTTTAGGTTTTTAAATTGTAAAATAGAGAATGATTTGAAAGAAAGAAAAAATGAAGTTGTGATTGTTTTTATAATTTAATTAATCCAAACAAAAATTTTATATATGTATTTACTAATTTATCCTTATATTTATTAATGCAATTATATATAGCCATTATGTCATTATATAATAATTTTGTTTTAGTAATTACTATATTAATTGACGTTAAATATGGTTCTTGCATTAAAATACTTTATTTTAGGCCTCATTTAATTAACTGACGTAATAATTAAGGCAAGTATTAATACTTTATTTATGAATAATGTATATTATTTAAACATTAATTATAAGTTCATATTATAAAATTAATAGAAAATATAAACATATTATCTTAATATATAAATATATAAAAGTAATTTGGACTTTTTAAAATTAAATATATGAAAGTGTTTACTCTTGTAAAATTGTTTGACTATTTTCAGGTTTGAGCAACTTGAAGGTTATCAGTTTAAGTCATAACAACCTCAGCAATAGCATATTATCATCTTTGGGTGGTCTCTCTTCATTAAAATATCTGTATCTAGAAGACATTGGATTGAATGGAACTGTTGATGTTGAAGGTAAGTTTGATAAAATTCCTAATGTCTTCTTATGATCAATTTTTAATTAACTCTTATTCATTTTTTCCTAGGATTATGTTCCTTGAAAAACTTAGAGGAGTTGTACATAGATTGGAATAAGATTGACAAATTTGTCAACTCCAAAGGTATTCAATTCATTCCATCACTACAGGCCCATAACTAAACTCAAGTAATAATATTTAATCAATTTATTTTTAACTCTCAATTTTCTACCTGATTGTGTATTTGACAACAGTTTTGATATTAATGAAATATTAAATAAATATTAATGCTACAATAGGTATTATTTTACAAATTAAAAAAGATAATTCTTGAGTTTAATTTTCTTTTTTTTTTTAAGAAAAAAAAGTTCATCTAAATCTTGATATTCAAAACTGTCTAGCAAACAATTTTTTTTTTTTAAATTCGAAAAATAGAGAATTATTTTTATTAAGAGAAAGACTAAGGTTAATTTCTATAAACCATTAAGTCCATAAAGTTATTTGTATGTTTTTTAAGTTTTCTTTTTTTATTTTTTTTTCAAAAACGCATAACACAATTTTTGAGGTTAATACTAATTCTTTTTATAAAAGAAAAAATTGTGTTTCGTAAATCTTTGTACTCCAGCTAGTAAAAACATATTATATTATTTTATTTAATTTGCAAAATATGAGAATTGAGTTTTAGAAAAAAATAAATTCCTTTGTAAAATCCATTCCCTGCATTACGTTAAAGATTGTTAATTATAATTCAGTTTTTTAACTTACAGATTATAGAGGCTTGAAGAAGTTAAATGCCCTTTCTCTATATAGTGGTATTGAAACCACTGATGCAACCGTTTTTCTACAATCAACATTGAGATTGTTCCCATCCTTAAAGACACTTGACCTTTCGTGTAATAGTTTTAATCGAACAGTGATTACTCGAGGTAAGAAATAAGTTAAAGTTATGATGTTAAAACATAATTGTTGATAATTTGTCAATTACTTACCTAGCATCATTTAAATTTGTTGCACTATTTCAACAGAGTTGCATAATTTGACCACCTTGGAAGAATTGATCTTGGATTATTCTGAGCTCCACATAAGTTTTCTACAAACTGTTGCAACTTGCACTTTACTAAAACATTTATCAATGAGAGATTGTGAACTCAATTACATCTCACAAGTTCAAGGTAAATTCAAGATTAATTTCATTTGCATTAATTCATATATGTGGATCAAACACCTCTTGAAATTTTATATTCAAGTTAGATGTGGAAAAAATGAAATATTTACAAAAATGAAATCTAATATTAATTTCTATACGTACTGAAAATTAATTTTTCTTTTACTATAATATTCTAGATATGGGAATTCCATGAGATCAAATATTTATATTTTAATTGAGAAGGCTTTTAATTAGCCTTAAATGTTGGCAATAAAATATTGAAAATTGTGGGAACTTTCATCTTTTGGAATAGATTAGATTGAATTCATTTTAATCTTTAAAAGTAACAAAAATGATCAATAGAATGTGCAATTGAGCTTGATATTTTTTTTTTAATTTAATATTGTTTTTTAGTATGTATAGGTTTTATTAATTTCAAATTTTGGAACATTTGCTTATGGAAATTCACATACATTCATGTCAATGTGTAGGTTCTATTTATTTCAGAAATTTGAAAAGTCTGGACATGGAGCAAACTACTCTCAACCACAACTTTTCTCAAATCTTTAAACCGATAATTTCTCTTAAGAAATTATCATTGTCTTATTGCGGACTCAATGGCACATTATATGATCAAGGTTAGTAAATCAAATAAATATATATGCAATAAATAAATAAACATTTACTTAGTTCATGTATTCACTAGCATTAATAGATTACATTGAAATGAAAAAGTGACAAAAAAGATGATAATCATGTCCACCATAATAATAAACTATTCAAAAAATTAATGATGAGTTTAAAGTGATCACTATTAATTGATGAAACTGAAACAATAAATAGTGACAAAAAATGATATTAAAATCATGCCTACCATAATAAGATATTTGATGTAAATGTTTATGAATTATATATGTTAATAATTAAATAACATGTTTTATTTCAGGCTTGTGTGAGATGGTGCATTTGCAACAGTTGAATATTGACAATAATGATTTGTGGGGTCCCTTACCTCCATGTTTGGCAAATTTGACTTCACTTAAGCAGTTAGATATTTCTTCCAATCAAATTACGGGAAACATCTCCTCATCTTCCCTTAAGGATCTACCATCTACCCAAGTCCTTAACATTTCAAACAATTAGTTGCAAGTCCCAATATCACTCAATTCATTTTTTAACCTTTCAAACCTCAAAAGATTTCAGGAGTGAAAATAATCAAATATATGTTGAAACCATGTCATATTCTTTGACCCCAAAATTCCAATTAAATTCCATCACGTTGTCTGGTTGTAGAAATGTTGGCACTTTTCCCAAATTTCTTTACCATCAACATGACCTACAAAATATTGATCTCTCCCACATGAACTTGAGTGGAGAATTTCTGTATTGGTTGTTGTCCAACAATACCCAGCTAGAAACACTTTTGCTAGTTAATAATTCTCTTTCAGGAACTTTCCCATTGCCATCTCAATCCCATTTGCATTTAGAAAGCTTATACATCTCCATCAATTTCTTTCATGGCCAAATTCCAATAGAGATTGGTGCAAAACTACCAAAGCTATTTTATTTCAACATTTCTGGAAATTCTTTCAATTGTAGCATTCCATCTTCTTTTGGTAATATGAGCTCCTTGCAAGTTTTGGACTTATCAAAAAATGAGTTGGCAGGCGGAATACCTAAGCACTTGGCCATAGGGTGCTTCTCACTGGAAAAATTGGTGTTATCAAACAACAAGTTGCAAGGTCATATATTCTTTAATAATATGAACTTGATAAATTTAGAAGAATTACAACTGGATGGTAGTCATTTTAGTGGAGAGATCCCAAAAAGCTTGTTAAATTGCAATTCTTTAGAAGTATTGTATCTCAATGATAACCATCTCTCAGGCAAGATCCCAAGATGGATTGGAAATCTATCAATTTTAGGAGTTATTGCAATGTCAAATAATGAACTTGAAGGTCCAATTCCAAAAGAACTATGTCAAATTGATGATCTTCAAATTTTGGACATTTCAAATAACAATATCTATGGTAAATTTCCATCTTGTTTTAAATTTTCAAGAATCAAGCAAGTTCAATTGTCAAGAAATAGATTGCAAGGACAACTAAAAGATGCTTTCTACATTAATAGTTCTCAGTTGGTGGTCTTAGATCTTAGCTATAATCACTTCAGAGGGAATATTCCAAGTTGGATTGCAAACTCTCTTCTTTAGGTTACCTTATCTTAGGTAACAATCATCTTGAAGATGAATTACCTACTCAATTGTGCAATTTGACAGAACTACGCTTGCTAGATCTCTCTCAAAACAGTCTCTATGGTAAAATTCCCTCTTGCTTGGATTTCACTGCCCTACATGAAGAAAATGGGAATGAGGCAACTATAACTTCTGCTCTTATGGATATAAAAATTATATTTTTTTTAGGGGATAATCCATTCGGAAGTGAAGAATCCATACAGTTCACAACAAAAAAGTATATCCTACTCCTACAAGGGAAGAATCCTCACATCTATGTCTGGAATTGATCTTTCTTGTAATAAATTATTCGGTGAAATTCCTGATCAAATCGGAAACCTAACCGCAATTCACGCTCTTAATCTTTCTCATAATAATTTGACAGGATCAATCCCAATAACATTCTTAAATCTCAAACAAATTGAGAGCTTGGATCTTTCTTACAACGATTTGAATGGAAAAATTCCTTCAAATCTAGTAGAGATATACACATTGTTTGTTTTCAGTGTGGCACACAATAATTTATCAGGAAAAACACCTGAAAGGATTAACCAATTAGCAACTTTTGAAGAAGGTAGCTATTTAGGAAACCCTTTTCTTTGTGGACTGCCTTTGAACAAAAGTTGCAACCCAGTGGAATCACCATCATTGACACCTGGAGCTTCAGCAGACAACAAAGAAGATGATAATGATTTTGTTGACATGGACATCTTCTATATCACTTTCGTGGTGATGGACATCTTCTATATCACTTTCGTGGTGACCTACATAGTTGTGCTTTTAGTGATTGTTGGAATTTTGTATGTGAATCCTTACTGGAGACGAACACGGTTTTATCTTGTGGAGAAATTGATAATCTCCTGTTACTACTTTGTTATTGACCATCTTCCATAATTTCGTGGTTGAATTATGATTGTAATATTACATGTATGTCAATTTTTTCTTTTTCAATAATATGTATTTTCTTTAAGTCAAATGATGAAATAAATCTATTGAACCATTAAACAAAGTTCTAAACTTATATAATTTGAAAATATTTCATATGCGTTAATTTTTTTTATTAAAATTATGGAACACTTTTTTTCTCTCGAATTGCTATGATATTCTAATTAGAAATATATTAAATATTAATGGAAGTTAATGAAAAACTATATTCAATATCTAAATTATATTACATATAATTAGAAGTAGCTACGGAGGAAATCATTTTTCTTTGTGGACTACCATTGGCACCAAAAGTTTCATAAGATAATAGTAAATTTGTTGACATATACATTTTCTATATAATTTTTTTAATAAAAAATACTTTGAAATATTTCAAAAGTTTATCCACAATTTATTCCCAAATTGCTATGATATTCTAATTATTAACGTAGTAAAGATTTTTAAAATTAAATGAAATAATATATTCACTATCTTTATTATTATTGTACATTAATAATAATAATAATAACGCCAATTCAAGTGGACCGTTTTCATCTCAAGAATTTAATTCCAATCGAGTCGGGAAAAAAAAAAAAATAGACTATCGAATCGATCTAAAAGGTCCCAAAATATCAATATCATTACATTTACACCCAAAAGTAGTAAAAATCCCCAAGTCTCAACCAAAAGAAAAATGACATGTTACCCCACCGAGTAGGGTTTAATGCTCCTTCCTTTCGCTTAATCCCTTCTCTTTCGCAGAAGCCGAAACAGCTCTGCTCTGCTTTTTACAACACCCACCCTAATTTCCAATCTTCTTTACCCCAGTTATCAATTCAATTCAATTTTAATCCCAAAGTCAAATATTTTCATTCATTTTCAAGTGATGGAGAATATGATTACTGAAGTTCAAGTGGAAGTGGCGGGCGGGTATTCGGATCCTGGAGCCGGATCCTTTTCTGGGTTATAAAGAAGGATCGAGTTTCATCCGGCTAGAAAAGTCTTTAGTGGGCTTAGTAATGGTGGTGACAATGGGATTTTAAATTGGAGACACTGAATCCAAGTGGGTCGGAGCAGAAGAAAGCTAGGACGGGTCAAGGACAGGGTCCGAGTGGCGGGTCGGGGAAGAAAGTTGATGGGTCGGAGTTTTGGGATTGTGGGTTGGAACCTGAGCTGAGTTTTGGGATGACTTTTCGGAGAATTGTGAGTGTTTTTAGTGTTTAAGATTGCTTTTTTTTTTTTTTTTTTTTTTTTTTTTTTTTTTTTTTTTAATTCTATGGCTTTGAATGAGTTTTTTCTGTTTTGATAATTTGTTGGAATTCGATCGTTTCGTTGTAGTTTGATTTAGTTCTGTTGAAGGGCAATTGGTATGTTACAGGGAGTGAAATCCCGTTAGGTAACAGTAATTTATGAGTATTTGTTAGTTTCATGGTTTTATTTGAGGGAATTGCTATGTTGCGGAGTAAAATTGTAGTATAGTTACTGGAATTAATGGTTTTGGTAGTCCTATGTCTTACAAATGTAATGAAATAATCGAATACGATGTACATGATATTTGTATTATTTTGGATTGATGTATGCTGCCATAGTTTAAGATATGTAAATTTGGTTATCAGTTGGTGATTTCAGCTCAAAGACTTGATTTAGCTGAATTGGCATTTCGAATAAATTTGGTGTCAATTTTTTCAATGGCAAATGTTATGACTCTTTTTAGTAATAGCTGTGAGAACTTGGTTTTGTGTTGAACCTAAACTTATCTATATGATATGTATGACTTACAGGTGCTGGTCTTGAAAATCTTGGAAATACTTGTTTTCTCAATTCAGTGCTAGTGTCTGACATTACAGAGCCTTTAGCGGCATACTTGCAGAGTGAACAGCATCGAAATTCTTGTAAGTGGCTTCATTTCTGATCAATCCTTTCTTTTTTGCTTTTTATCTCCATGAACACAATAATATAGGCATGCAGATTTCTGAATCATTCATGTGTCTGCTGTACTTTTATTTCTTATGATGGGTTAAGAAGCAATTAGCTTTGATATCGATCTCTCATGGATATGTAGTTGCTTCATTGAAATAAAGTTCAAAGACTTCCATATTTGTTTCAAGTTTTGTGGTTTATGTACTGTCACTGTGAGTGTGATTTAATTTTTGGATACAAGTAATTAGATATGGCTGGTTAGATGAGCACATAATAAGTCGCCACTTTCAGTGGAGGTTTAAAGATTTTTTTTAATCCATTCTACTCACTACAATTTAGGATATCCTTGCGTATTATTTGATTGGTATTAAGTTGTGTAAATAGCCGAAGAAAATCTATGGTTTATAGGCCTTGTGTTAAAATATTAAGCATGATGATGATACTTTTTCTTAATCCCTTGTTATGTTTGTGGGTAGAGGTAAAGACTCCAATTGTGAGACTGGGTCTGTGATGGCCAGAACCATATTTTGCATTCTTAGCTCTTGCTTGTTAACAGAATGTATTATAAGGAGCTCTTTATTAAGGATGGGATTGCTTGTATTGGTTTTGAAGAATTAGTGTCTAATTACTTACCTATTTCCTGTAACAGTTGTCCAAGTCAATGAGAGGTCTGTTTTAGAGCAGAAGGCTTACATGCTGTTTTATGTTCGTGATAGAAGAAATTGCTCCTAAAAAACCCATTGATGTTGTTCAGAGAGACTTGAAAGCCATGTCAATGGAATAAACCATCTCTCATTTTGAGCCAACAGTCAAAGAACACCTTCAAAGCTCTCGAATTGAGAATGGAGTATGTGGGGCAGACTCTTCTTCTGTGAAACAAAAGAATGCTGTAAATGGTGGGCTGTCAAAGGAGGCCATCTGAAGGAAGCATCCAGTCAGCCAGGGAGGATACCAATGCAAAGCTCAGTACCAAAAAGGAGCCCGTGTTGGAAACTTTTCAAGTCACCATTACAGAAAGACCCATCAGTGGGCTGCCTTTTCCAAATCTGGGTCAAGGAAAAAGCTTGCAGCCATCTGCTTCATCTTTGAATAGCAATGGAGGCATCCCAATATGAAAATAACACTACTATTGCTACCAAAGAGAAGCAAATTTAAGAATAATTTGGGGGTCTCGGTGACTGTATCATCCAACTGCAATGGGCACCAAAACTCTGCCTCTAACAAGATTCTCACAACTGAGACCTCACAGAAGGTAACTGGTTGTTTCTTTGCAGCTTGGACCCCTGGTGTCCATCTGTTTGCCAATGGGTGGAATTTAATCCTTATTTCTACAATTGTAAATGCATCTGTGCATTCAGATTAATGGTGTTTCGAATGCTGGGGCATCAATTAATACTCCTTCCCGAGATTCCAGTGATAAATCACTGGAGCGGGTTTCAAATATGGCTCAATCTGGGGGCTCCAGTGACAAAATGTTAGAGAAAGCAGATCCTATAAAATCAGCCAAGGAGCCAAGCTGTGAGGAAACTCAGGTGATTTCTATATATGTGTATTTATTGGATAAATTCCAATGAGATGTAGTATAGACTATTGAGTTGTTTCTCTTTTCATTCCCAGGTTGGAAATAAGCTTTATGATAGTGTTGCTGGTACTTCAGCAGAGGAAAATGTTGGTGATAATGGTCAAACACCCGCGTCAATGATGGCAAATGAACCTTTACACGCAAAAGCTCCTGATTGTGCATCCCAAAGGAAATTGAAGAAGAAGAAGCTTCTTAAGTGTAGGATTAATTCCATGCCTATTGGCTTAAAATTTTTCAAGGCATCCTTAGGTTTACGCAAGAAAAAGAAACACAAAAGGAGCAAACGCTGCACTGTAGATCTCCAGAATCTCAGTAAAGAACTCTTATTGGATAAAGATTCTTGTCTTTCATCGGACCTTGGTCCATCTACATCCGAGAAATGTGGTACCAGTTCCAGAAGTACCTGGAAGTACCCAATGGAACTGCTAAAAAGAATGGCAAAATGTGTAATGGTGATTCGTTGATGAATGGTGTGGATCGAGAATTAACAGAGAGAATTTGTCAGAATTATGGGGTTATAGAAGCACGTTTTGCTTTGATATCGATCTCTCACTGATATGTAGTTGCTTCATTGAAAATAAAGTTCAAAGACTTCCATAGTTGTTTCAGAAGGTTTTGTGGTTTATGTATTGTCACTGTGAGTGGGATTTAATTTTTAGATACAAGTAATTAGGATAATGGCTGGTTGAGATGAGCACATTTAATAAGTTGCCACTTTCAGTGGAGGTTTAAAGGTTTTTTCTTATCCATTCTATTCGCTACAGATTAGGATGATCATTGCGTAGTATATTTGATTGGTATTAAGTAGTGTAAATAGCCGAAGAAAATCTATGGTTTATAGGGCTCGTGTTAAAATATATAAGCATGATGATGATACCTTTTCTTAATCCCTTATGTTTTTGAATTTTCATGCAAGCATGCATGATATTGATTTTAAAATGACAGGAGGATGTGCATGAATACATGGTGAACTTGCTGGAATCAATGCATAAGTGTTGCTTACCCTCAGGAGTGCCAAGTGAATCCCCGAGTGCTTATGAGAAGAGTTTGGTACACAAGATCTTTGGTGGTCGTCTACGTAGTCAGGTAGTTATCAATTGATTAATTTTTTATTATTGTTATTATTGCTTCTAGGTGGTTTGGTTACTAAGTGAGAAGGTGGTCATGAGAAACTGTGGGAAAGCTTAGATTACATGGGGAATTATGAGATTTCAACATTGGATGCTTCTATTACATTTTGAATGGTTTCTTATTACTTGTGCAGGTCAAATGCATGCAATGTTCTTACTGCTCCAACAAATTTGATCCCTTCCTAGATTAAAGTCCTGAAATACATAAGGCGGATTCTGTGCATAAAGCCCTTACAAACTTCACTGCTGCGGAGCTGTTAGATGGAGGGGAGAGGCAGTACCAGTGCTAACGATGCAAGCAGAAAGTTAGGGCTCTCCATCTAAAACGGTTTCGTTCACATAATTTCTCTAGTAATTGTTGTCTCATTTTAATTAACTGTGCATGTACGTATTCTGTCTGTACATCGCAAAGGGCAGTTTTATGTTTCGGTGCTGATCTTCAATCACTGATTTATGAAGGTCATATTTCTGGGTTTTGTGCCTTGTGTGCCATTCAGAAACATGTTAGCCGTGCTCTGCAAGCGCCTGGGAGAATACTAGCACCAAAGGATCTTGTCTTAAAATTGCTATGTATCCTTGCTAAGTCTTATGTGTTCTATTTCCTGTATGTTCAATGGCAGTGATTTTCTTCAGATGCATCTCTTAGAATTTGGAATCCTTGACCATTCATTAGGCATATCTCGAAACTTTAGAAGTTGAAGACATGAGGATGCGCATGAATACATGGTGAACTTGCCGGAATCAGTGCATAAGTGTTGCTTACCCTCAGGAGTGCCAAGTTTTAATAGCTTAAAACCACTTGTATTAATAGATTATATTGAAATGAAAAAGTGACAAAAAAGATAATAAACGATTTAAAGAATAAATGATGAGTTTAAAGTGATCACTTTGTATTAATTGATGAAATTGAAATAATAAATAGTGACAAAAAAAAGATATTAAAATCATGCCTATCTTAGTAAGAAATTTGATTTACTAATATTTTATGTAAATGTTTATGAATTATATATGTTAATAATTAAATGACATGTTTCATGAGATGGCCCCTTACCTCCATGTTTGGCAAATTGACTTCACTTCAACTACTTAGATATTCCTTCCAATCAAATCACTGGAAACATCTCCTCATCTCCCCTTAAGGATCTACCATCCATCAAAGTCCTTTACATTTCAAACTTCAAATATTTCAAGAGTGGAAATAACCAAATATATGTTGAAACCATGTCATATTCTTTGACCCCAAAATTTCAATTAAATTCCATCATGTTGTCTGGTTGTGGAAATGTTGTCATTTTTCCCAAATTTCTTTACCATCAACATGACTTGGAACAAGTTCAACTCTCTCACATTAACTTTGGTGGAGAATTTCTGTATTGGTTGTTCTACAACAATACCCAGCTAGAAACACTTTGTCTGGTTAATAATTCTCTTTTAGGAACTTTCCTATTGCCATTTCAGACCAACATGCATTTAAAAGTATTAAATATCTCCGTCAATTTCTTTCATGGCCAAATTCCAATGGAGATTGGTGCAAAACTACCAAAGCTAATACAATCAAACATTTCTATAAATATTTTCAATGGTACGCATTCCATCTTCTTTTGGTAATATGAGCTCCTTGAAATTTCTGGACTTATCAAGCAATAAGTTGGCTGGCGGAATACCTGAGCACTTGGCCATACGGTGCTTCTTACTACAGCTATTAGTGTTATCAAACAACAATTTGCAAGGTCATATCTTATCTCTAATAATATGAACTTGACAAATTTAGTAACATTACAATTGGAAGGTAATCATTTTAGTAGAGAGATCCCAAAAAGCTTGCTGAATTGCTATTCTTTAATAGTATTGTATCTCAATGATAAACATGTCTAAGGCAAGATCCCAAGATGGTTTGGAAATCTATCAACTTTAGAGGTTATTGTAATGTCAAATAATGAATTTGAAGGTCTAATTCCGAAAGAACTAAGTCAACTTGATGATCTTGAAATTTTGGACCTTTCAGACAGTAATATCTCTGGAAGTTTTCCATCTTGTTTCAGCCCTTCAGGAATCAAGCAAGTTCACTTGTCAAGTAATAGATTGCAAGGACAGTTGAAAGATGCTTTCTACATTAATAGTTCTCAGTTGGTGCTCTTAGATCTTAGCTATAACCACTTCTAAGGGAATATTCCAAGTTGGATTGGCAAACTCTCTTCTTTAGGTTACCTTATCTTAAGTAACGATCATCTCAAAGGTAAATCACCAGTCACAGCAATTAGCCATATACAATAACCCAATAAACAAATTGAATAGAGTGAGAGAATACCAATTAATTGTCAGCTTTGCCGCCTGCATGAATGAGTAAACTATCACCGGTCCAACAAATTGGAACCCCTCCTTCAGTAAATCCTTGCTGATGGCTTCAGCTTTTGGAGTCCTTAAGGGAACATTTCTTGGATATCTGTATTTGTTAATCACTGGTTTGTAATTTACATAACCCCACATAAAGCTACTGAAGGACTGGAATTCGTTCACAATCTGCATTTGGACAATGAGGTTAAGTGAGCAACTAATGAGCAATGCAATTCAAAGAGATTGCAGAAAAAGTAAATATATACTGAGGAATTGAATATTCAAACTTACTTTCATTATACAGTTGGCATTGTCTAGTATGCACCTCACTCTGCTCTCTGCCAACATTATTGCTTTGTCTGATAATATCTCTAAGATCTCTTTCTCCCCCATTTTGGCAACAACCACAGGATCGAATCCCGCGAAAGCTTCTCTATGTTATCGACCAAATGTTTAGATTTATGATGAAGGTACCTTGAAATACGTAAATTTTAGTTACATTTGAGTAGTTCAAAAGAAGTAGTACCTGAATAATTCTTTTCTTTTCAAGATTTCAATCCAGTTGTAATCCATCAACATACCACACAATGCAAGTAGCTCGAACAGTGGACTGTTTGATGATAATTTACCATTTAAAAGTTGGCACTGATTTTTCATAATTTATATATTCACTGGATTAAATATTACAACTGACTTACTTGTCATCATAAACTGGAACTCCCCAGGATTCATCATGAAATGCAACATAAACTTTATCTGTATCAAACATTATGTCAATCTCATACAGTTTTTTATTATAAAAAAAAAAAAATAAATTTGTTAGTATATATTAATGTCCTCAATTAAGAAGCAATGTACATCTGAAATGTGTAAAGTAGGTGAAGATGTTGATGTTTAATCTGGTTAATTAATGACAGTTTCAAGAATATCCGGATTCAGACTATAAACACAGTTTAACATGCAGTATAGTTGTATCAGGAAGGCTTTATTGTAATTTTTTTTCATCAACATTTAGTAATAAAATATACATTTTTATCATTATAAACTACCATAATAAGCCATGATTGAGACAAAGTAGGGAAACTAACATACGAAAAAGAAGCATAAAACCTTCTAAACAACTATTCAGCTGATGATTCCTTCGCCACTGTACACACCCTGATCCCAAAGCAACTCTAAGATCTATCTGGAAAAATTGACATCAAATGAGATCCATTAATCACCAGTCACAGCAATTAAACATACACAATAACCCAATAAACAAAATGCATAGAGTGAGAGAATACCTAAGATCTGGATTCCTGCTCAGCCTCATCATGCACCTCAGAAGTGGATTTCCCGGAGTCCTCAAGCTTTTCATCAGCCCCACCACCATTCTAATTCAAAACCCAAAATAGAAATTAGAAAAAAGAAATATCACCCAAAAAAAAAAAAAAAATAAAGAAAAGAGAAATAAATCTGAACTTGCCACGATTAAACATTAAAAAATAGAATAAATATGAAGATACTTTTAGGAAGAGCATTGACCAAGTTAGCAACAGCAGGGCAACCAAAGAGCAAAATCCACTCTAACCTCTCAAACTCAGCACAAATGCTAAAAGTGCCGCTGACTTTGTCGGTGGTGGTGCGGACAGCAGCTTCGAGATCGAATGCAGAGGAATCGGATTCTTGAGAAAAGGTGTAAGAGTTCCAATCAGCCAGCAGAGACAAAGGCTTTTGTCGGTGGTCGTTTGAGTTGGCAGTGCTTGGACCTCTGATGAACCATGCTTGTGCCGTCTTCTGCATTTGTATCAAGCGTTGTGATTGTGAGATTGACTGTCAAAGATAGATCTATACACTGCAAGCAGGTTTATGTAAACTCCCACACCCAAATTACGGCAAACATAAATTCAACCACCATTAACATCATATGAAGTTTGTGAGATCTGATGATAAAAATAAGCATCTCAAACCAATGTTCACATCTAAATTATCAAATTAAAAACTACTGGTTCGTTAAAAGAAACCCCATTGAAGTTCATTTCCTTTTTCTAGTACCTCCTACCATTATAAATAAAATTTTAAAAAAAAGTAAAAGAAGAACTAAAAGTAAAATGAAAATGAATAAAGAAGAAGAAGAGAAGCACTAAAGTAATACCTCTGTAACTGCATTTTCTAAGAAGAGCACAGATAATATGACATGTAGAATCATCTGCTTCTACCAATAGAACTCTAAGAACCATCCTCGGCAGAAATCTTTCCCACCTAACCACCTCAGACGAGCCATCCTTCTTAGTCTTGTTCTTCTCTGTCTCCAACTCCATTTCCATTGCTTCTTCACCGCTCAAAACCACTACACCCATTCTCATAAACCCTGCTTTTCACCACAAGACAAACACAAATACTAAAAACAATAACCCTAATTTCTTGGTAAAAATAACCGTAGAAGCAAATGAATAAAAGGAAAATGTTTTGTAAATAGAGTTCAGCAAATGTTCTCTGCAAAGTCTCTCTTAGTAACCAACAAAAACTAAATTCAATCACACAGTTAAAATCACATTTGGAGTAAAAATGAGTACAGCAAGAAAACGTACCGTTTAGATCGACCGACCTTGGGCTCTTCATCGATGGCGGCGATGAGATCGGCGAGGAGATCGACGCAGAGGAGAGGGTCAGGCGATTGTTGCGATGCCGACGCGACTATAGACTCCTGCGCCACCAATACGCCGAATCGCGAGACCGGAGTGGAAGAATCGAGACGTCACCCGCCAGTGCCGGAAGTAGGACAACGGTGACGGATCTGGAGATGATTGTGGTGTCGCATGGAGGAGGTGATAGAGCGGCGGCGTGTGAGATGAAGAGCGAGTGAAGCGACAGAGGTGTGATTGTAAGAGGTTGAGTTGCCATTAGCTCTACAGTAATGCTAGATTTACCGATCCAACTACCCACTTTAACATACTGCTAATATGGCAAGTGTGACCTCCTCTACCACATCAGACATTTGCCACATCAGTCCACCCACAACCAAAAAAAAAATAAAAAAATAAAAAAATTCCCTTCAATAACCGTGGTTAGCAAAATTGAAAGCATTTCAATTCACAAATTCAAATCTGCCTCCCAAAATTCATTTTCCCCAAATTTGCGATTTCAGTCACACTCCACGCACGCAGCACCACCGCACTCCAATTTTGCCGACATAACCAAGCCAACCTTTCTCGTTGTCGCCTCTCTACCATCATTTGTGTCCGCGGTTGACGCGGTTGAGTTCCTGGTGAAGAGTATAGCCGATTCAACCGCCACATTTACTTCCAAGTGGTAAGTCTCCATTATCACATTTACTTCCATTCCATATTTCTTTTGCTCATTTAATTTTTTACCTTTATATCATTCAGTTGAGCAAAATATGCTACTGAGCTAGACTGTTGTTCTTTGCGGGGCCATACTTTGCGACTTCTGTCTTTGCCAGACTTCTTGGATGCCTCCATTGGCAAGATATTGAAGGTATGAAGGCTAAGTTAGACCGTTATATTAACACTTTGATCCAATTTTAGATATAAATGGACCATAGTATCCTTCGTGGAATACATATACTAAGATTATGATATATCAAATTAAAGCCTTATCTTTTTAGTTTCTAAATATTCAAGGTTCTCATTAATTGGATTTTTATTAAGAAAGTTATGGTCAATTTACTACTGACTGCTCAGTGGAAATCAAAATATGTGTGATAATAAAAGAAGTGGTTCGACAGGAGGGCTACAGTTATCTAAATTAAGCATATAATATATCAAATTAAAGCCCTATCTGTCTAGTTTCCAAAGATTCAAACCTCTCATCAATTGAAGTTTTATTGAGCAAGTTATGGTCAATTTACTACTGATTATTTAGTGGAAACCTAAATGTGTATGATGATAAAATGAATGATTTACTAAAGTTATATCGTTCAACATCAAATATCAATTGATAGTAATATTCAGCAACAACCTCTTTTCATGATAAATGTATATAACATAAAAAGATATGAACAAAAAGTGATAGAACAATTACAATTAAAACTATATATCAATATTTGTTTTCCTTTAAGGATAATAATAATGGTTCGGCATATTACAAATGGTTTACTAAAACTACATGGCTTGGCAACAAACTTCATATGACATTTGTAATACAAATAAAATTTGTTGTATTCAACAACAACCTATTTTCGATATATGTATGTAACATAAAAAATATCAACAAAAAGAGATAGAACAAATACAATTAAAATTGCATATCAATATTTGTTTTCCTTTGTCATCACTAAAATTGAATTGGTTTTATGTGTGTGATGATAAAGTGAATGGTTCGGCTGTAGGTTCATAATTATCCAAATTCATCTTATAATATATCAAATTAAAGCTCTATCTTTCTAATTTCCAAAGATTCAAACCGCTCATCAATTGGATTTTTATTGAGTATGATCAATTTACTACTGATTGTTCAGTGGAAATTGAGAAATAGGAAAAACTAAAATGTGTGTGATGATAAAATAAATTGTTCAAAAGCGAGGCTATATTTATCCAATATCAAATTAAATCCCTATCTATCTAGTTTCTAGATATTCAAACCTCTTATCAATTGGAGTTTTATTGAGCAAGTTATGGTCAATTTACTACTGACTGTTTAGTGAAAACCAAAATATTTGATGATAAAATGAATGATTCGACAGTATGGCTACAGTTATCCAAATTAAGTGTATAATATACCAATTAACGCCCTTTCTATGTAGTTTCTAAATATTCAAATTTATCATCAATTGGAGTTTTATTAAGAAAGTTATGGTCAATTTACTACTGACTGTTTAGTTGAAACCAAAATACGTGTAATGATAAAATTAATAGTTTGGCAGTGAGGTTATAGTTATGAAAAATAAGCGTATAATATATCAAATTAAAGCTCTATCTATCTAGTTTTTAAAGATTCAAATCGCTCATCAATTGGACTTTTATTAAGCAAGTTATGACTAATTTACTACTGACTGTTAAGTGGAAATCAAGAAATAGAGAAAACCAAATGTGTGTGATGATAAAAGGAATGGTTCGGCAACAGAGCTACAGTTATCCAAATTAAGCGTATGATATATCAAATTAAGGCCATGTCTATCTAGTTTTTAAATATTCAATCCTCTCATTAATTGGACTTTTATTGAGCAAGTTATGATCAATTTACTACTAATTGTTCAGTGGAAATTGAAATGTGTGAAATGATAAAATGAATGGTTTACTTAACCCAAATTTAAGGGATTATCATATTAGGATTGATAAGAAATATTTCAAATAACACCTATTAATTGGAAAACGTAATTAGCCAAAATTAATTCGTTTAACATATATACTCCCACATCAACAGGACAAACAATTAATCATTCATATAACAAATTAACATACACGAATATTTTTACAAAAAAAACATATTCAACACAAATGAACTGATTTTACTAATATAGATATAACACATACTCACAGTTCGATTGACAATAGGATGATCCTCGATTTAATCTTAGTAAAGTACATGAACATTTCCTTGAAAACAAACATAACAAAATTTAATCTATCTTCATGTTAAGATTGTTAAGGAACAATTATTCATTTGTATAAAATTGTTACCTGAAAACAAAATCAACAAAAGTTAATTAATCTTCATATTAAAATTGTAAAGGAATACACTTACCATTCCGCATGACTAACACAATTAATCATTCAAATAGATTGACCAAACAAAAACAATCATACGATCAAATAATAACCATTAAAATAGTTAGGAGATATACTTACAATTTCGTATTAAAATAGTTAGAAGATATACTTACAGTTCAGAAGAATGAATCAAAATAACAACTCATTTGACAATGTCAATCAGACATCCTGCCTTTACTCCATGTCAATTCATGAATCTTTGACCTGTAAATAAGAACAAAAGCATAAATAAATAAAAAATCATTGATTAACAAAATCATAAAGAATAGACGTATTATTGACACAAACTAACATGACCTATAAACAATTAACAAAAGACCAAACGTATTGTTGACATCAACTAACATATTGCAATAATACACAACTGAACATACGCCTCTTTTATAACCTCTTATTAAGACCTTTCGAACGCCAACACAATTAAATACGAATTGAATACTAAGAAAGGATTGCAAGGTTAATACAATGCACCTATATAATTATTAATAGCAATCCTAGATAGATGTCATTAAACCACAATTATTAATAGCAATCCAATGCACCTGTATACTTGTTATTAATGCACATCCAACACGTCAAAATAGTTACAACTTTGGAATGCCAATACAGTGCACCATTATTATTATTATTATTATTATTTTATTATAGATCTAATATTTTTTATTAATTATTAATTGTAGATGGAACAATAAATACAAACCCAACATGTCAAGATTGAGCAATTTGATTGGGCTCATTAAACCACAAATCCTATTTATCAATCCAATGGGTCAAGATGGAACAACTCTAAAACCCCAAAATGAGTTTCAAAATGTGCTACGTAATGTAATCAAGATGATATGAACCTTTGGAATATCAGTGCAATGCATTAATATCTCATTAAACTTAATCAAGAAACGTTTTGAGTTGATACAAACATTTGGAATATCAATGCAATGCATTAATATTTTATTAAACCACACATCCAATGTGGCAAGAGGAAGCAATTCTAGAGCTCCAAAATAAAGCAATTTTAGAGCTCAAAAAAAAAAAAAAAANCAAGTTTCCGATATGCGAACCACAAGTTTCTTG